CTCTCTCTCTCTCTCTCTCTCTCTCTCTCTCTCTCTCTTTCTCGAATCAATAAAAACATATCCTCTAGTGAGGATTAAAAAAACAACACATCACTATTCTCACTATTAGGGTGTGTCAAAGGGTACAAGAACCAGCCTAAAAGGATTCCATTTGGCTTGAAAAATAATGACTACAAACAACTCAATTTAAGCATGAAAAAATAATGAGTGAAATTAGTTGAATCACAATAAACACATAAAAACCAGGATTAAAAATAATATTTAAAACAGAGAGAGATAAAGCCAACAAAAGTTTTTTGATCACAACACGGGAATTAGGGCACCAAGTCCTCGTGCTGAAAATTGGCACCTTATTTAGTGAGCATCTGTCCTGCCTATATTTCAGAGAAGCCAAATTAACCATAGTGGATAAAGGAAACCGAATCTCTACAGAATTCCTGCCAACAACTGTGGGGAGAATAACAGAATTAGAAAAACAGTTTTTGCACAATCAATTAATTGGTTCGGTGAAGAACACTGAAGGAGGAAATAGTTAGATAAAGGGCTGACGGGGGACTTCACAATGCAGCCCTCGGAGTAATGCCTCTGATCCATCCCAGCCAGGGAATGGGAGTGGGGGCCCTGCAGGCCTCCTGAACCCATTCAAGCCTTTCTGCTTACCTGTGACTTTCAGGGCATACAAGGGAGGGGTACAAATGCAAAGACAAGTCTAGACCACGGGACATTTTACAGAACAATTGACTGGGACGCTTGCACAAGTTAACGGCATGGCAGAGGGGACAAAGGGAGAGGGCAGAAGGAGAGAAACTGCTTGAATTAAAAAAGACCGCAGAGACATAATAACTAAGTACGATGTGGAGATCTTGTGTAAAACTGGACTGAACAAACTGGCTATAAAAGATTTTTGAGAGAACTTGGAAATTCGAAAATGAACTGAACATAGAGGACACCAAGGATTTATTGTTAATTTTGTTAGGTGTGATAGTGGCATTTGATTCCATGTAAGGTAAAATTGGTGTTTTTTAGAGCTTAAGGGTGAAATGAAAAACAGTGTAAGATTTTCATTAACATGCTTCTACTCCCCAAAACAAACATGACAAGTCTTTCAAAACCTTGATAATTACTGAATCTGGGTGATTAGTATAAGGGGAGTGCTTTATAATCTTCTCTCTATTTTTGTATATACTTAACATTCTTCATAATAAAAAATTAAAATAAATAAATTTGAGATTTGCTTAAAAGAATCCATGAAGTTTCCCAGATAAAAAGTATGATGGTAGTGGCTTTTTAAATTTTATGAACCTGAATTATCTCTCAGAGGACTGGAATGGTTTCTTGGAGTCATCTTGGAAGTGGCTTTTAGAACTAACAACTCACTTTTGCCATTTCAGTATGAGGGGGCCAAAACATCACTCTAACATCCATTCTTCATTTACTTACTGCAGATTGTACAGTCCCAGAAGTCCCATTCCTCGAAAATCCGTCTTAGGATCATCACCTTGGAAACCAATTTCACACCATTGCTTAGAAATCCGAGATGCCAGTGGAGTATCGGGCTTCAAGAATTTCCATAACTGGAGACAAGAAAGGAAATTAGCCTGTTGACACACACACATAAATATTCTTTCCTATTGGCTTAGATTCTGTAAACCGCATCATTAGGAGGAGCTTTGCAAAAATCGAATGCATGCAAATGTGTTACAATGAAAGATCTGACCACCTTTCAATGATCTATGAGAGTAGTTCTCAAAGTATTGTCAGAACACTCCTGGAGGAACCCCATGACCTTTGCAGAGGCTCTGGAAGGCAAAAACTATTTCATAACAAAATGAACAGGTTATTTGCCTTTTCATTCTCACTGTCATGAGTACACAGTGGAATTTTCCAGAGGCTGCATGACCTGGGATGATGTCATCGCCCTGAAAGTAATGGAATCTGCACTTTCATATTTTAGTGTTTTAAATATTTCTGTTTTAATTTCTAATCAGATATATATCTCCCACACAAGCTGTTTGGAGTCTCCCAAAAATATATAAGAGAATAAAGGGAAGGCGAGAACAGGGAAAATTTTGAGGCCGTGAGTTATTTACATCCTCAGAAAATGCTTATCTTACTTTACAGCAAAGCTCTTAGCAGCATTATTAACCAAAAGAAAAATGAACAGACTTGAGTTTTATTTCTTAGGGCTCACCTATAGAGAGGTGAGGGTAAACATCATAGAGCGAAATACAGGAAGGTCAGTAATGTTCATGAATCAACCTCAAGGTATTTTATTATGTTTGAGTTACCTAAAAATGTTTCAGTGATAATCAATTTTATATTAATGGACAGATATAAATTCTGAACACTATGTTCTTCACTGCCTAAGAAACCGGTTCTATTTTTCTAAATTTTCTGTAGAAAAATCTGTTTAACACATATTAGTACTTGAGCATGAACGTGAGACACCCACAGCTGTATAGATATGGAATGCTTATTACTTCTTTCTAATAAATAGAGATGGGCATGTAAGCAAATTTACTTCTAACAATATTAATAATATTTTAATCCTCACTATGGAGACATATACAAATGTAAACTTTCCTTATTATTCTGACATAATTCAACTTCTAAATTGCTTATTCTCTGTTATACACATTTTAAAGTTCAAGCACAACAGGAACACACAAACACCTTGCATTACAGTGAACTGACAAAAAAGAGCTGTAATTCATTAAAGCTATTTTAGGCACTCATCCAAAATTATGTGCTATTCAAGTGATACAATAATTTCTCTTAGTGGCATAACTGGTAGATCAATCTAAAGAGTGAAAGAAAAATTTCAGAGGAAAGAAAGTAAATATGTCACACGTGAAGGCAAAATATGAAACATGGGTATAAGAAACCTCTTTTTATATTATCCATGTAAGAATTTGTCAGTGCTTTGCATTCATCAAAACAGAAAATGGCCCGGCCGGGCGTGGCTCAGCGGTTGAGCGTCGACCTAGGATCCAAGCGATTGGGGTTCGATTCCCGGTCAGGGCACATGCCCGGGTTGCGGGCTGCAGCCGATCAATGACTCTCTCATCATTGATGTTTCTCTCCCTCTCCCTCTCCTTTCCTCTCTCTGAAATCAATAAAGATATATTTAAAAAAAAATTTAAAAAAAACCAGAAAATGTTTCTGAGTTCATCAGAAGAGTGCTGCCCTAGCCGGTTTGGCTCAGTGGTTAGAGCGTTGGCCCACAGATTGAAGGGTCCTGGGTTTGACTGTGGCCAAGGGCATGTACCTCAGTTGCAGGCTCGATCCCCAGCCCCAGTTGGGGCGCATGTGGGAGGCAACTGATATGTCTCTCTTACATCAATTTCTTTTTTTTCCTCTCCCCCCCCTTCCACTCTCTCTGAAAAGTAATGGAAAAAATATCCTTGGGCGAGGGGAGGGGAAGAAGAGTACTGAAAAGTGAGAGAAAAGGTCTCTTTTAAATATCCTGTTAGGAAATGACTTGGTTATTGCCACAATGAAAAAAGAAATAAAAACCAAAAGAAACAGGTTGTAAAGCTCATCACATTCATGTGGACGATAATTTGAAGTAATCTCAGGGCCCTAAAGTTTAAATCTGGTTTCATCAAGTGAGTGAAATAGAAGAGCAAAAGCAAGCACTTTCTCTCTGCAGGTAAGTTATAAACTTCATTTATTGGAGGAATACTTAGTTTGGGGGAGTAAAGAGTTTAATAAAATCTATTTTAATAATTTCATGTATCAAGACAGACTAGACTAATGGCTAAAAAGTGTTCTTAATGATGTTCTTAATCCTATCTGCTTCAATAAGGATCACTTTGTTGGTAAATGAAAGTTGATTAGGCTAAACTACTTACATGAAGTGCTACCATGTGTACAGTTCCTGTAAGAATGCTTGAATTACTGGATTCCCTTCCACTAGATAGGCTTGTCCCTGAAAAAATTAAGGGTAAGAGGCAGGATGACCCTGAAGGGTTAGGTCATTTCTTGCATGTTGGAAGCCAACTGGAAGTCTGAACGAAGGTGACGGGCCTCTGAGGAGTCCAGCCACCTAAGGTTGTGCTACTGTGAGTAGAGTTATTACAAAGCCACCTGCCAAGTGCAGGAGACCAGAGCTAAGAAGGGTGCTTCCTGTGGCAGATGACAAGCTACAATGTGGAAGCTGCATGCTGAATCCTACTATTATCCACCAAGGCCCCTGCTCTGTTTAATTCTGCTCTTTGCACTGAGCCTTTACTGCAGGCTTATTTGAACACCTCTGCTTGTCTCAGGTCCACTGCAGAACAGAAGGGGCAAGGCCATTCAGCCACCCATCCATTCAAACAAAAGCAGCTTTTCACAGAGGCCACCATGAGACTCTCTTCCCATTAGGAGAGCATCTTTCAATTCTGGGTTATATTTTTTCTGTTAAGTCATGAATCGCCTTAAAACTCTGCCTTTATCATTAATTTGGTTAAAAATATTTAATAAAAATGTCCATTTGAATAATTCACATGAATAGTGCTACATGAATATAAAGTGATATTACTCTGTTTCATTCCAGTCTATGTTTAAATGATCATAAAACCCAGATTTTTTTATCCTTTAAGTAGAAACACCGATAATGGTCTCCTATGTTTACAAATCAAAGCACGTAAACAATATAGCAATAGATTAAAGTTTCTAAACCAGGGGCTAGCAAGTTTTGTCCGTAAAGGGCCAGACAATAAATACTTTAGGCTTTGGTGGCCATACAGTCATTGCTACAACTACTGAATGTTGCCGTTGTAGTACGAAAGCGGCCACATAAATGAATACATAAATGACAATTATAAATGAATGAATGGATGTGTTCCAACCAAACTTTATTTACAAAAATGTGTGGCTGGCCAGATTTGCTGACCCTTGCTCTAAACAATTTTATAATGTGGGTCACAAGGGTGTTATTACCCGCTTCAAAGGTGGAGAAACCTGAGCTTAGTCAGTTAAACGCAAACCATGGCCAGCCTCTGGAAATACAAATGGGAACGAGACATGGTGCCCCCTCGAGAGGCAGTATGGCACAGTAGTGCAGAGCCCTTCCTAACGGTGTGAGCCCGGGCAGTCACCTAACCGCCCAGCCTGCTTCCTCACCCGAAAAATGAGGATAATGACAGTATTTCATCATAAAGTTGTTACACTTACTGATATGATTGGCACATACTAAACACTCAGTGAATGTTTTATTACTACTAATTTTGTTATTACCATACTTGTGTTTGGAATAAACTGAAGAGGAGAATAGAGACCCCACTCCTAAGTTTGCTTGTGGAGGCTAGAAAAGATGTCTAAATTTAATAAATAAGGACTTAAGTAAAAGCCCTGGCCAGTTTGGCTCAGTGGTTAGAGTGCTGACCTGTGAACTGAAGGGTCCCGGGTTCGATTCTCGCCAAGGGCACGTACCTCGGTTGCAGGCTCGATCCCCGGCCCTGGTTGGGGTGCGTGCGGGAGGCAACCAATCGATGTGTCTCTCTCACATCGATGTTTCTCTCTCTCTCCCTCCCACTCTCTCTGAAAAGCAATGGGAAAAATATTCTCACATGAAGATTAAAAAAAAAAGTGAGCAGTTTCTGCTGTGAAAATAATAGGGAACGGAGGGAACAGCGTGAGCAAATACCTGGGCCCAAGGGACGGAGCAGCCTCTTCTGGGGGAGGGTGAACGGCAGAGACTGGTGGGAATGTGCTGTACATGATGGGGATACAGGAAAGATGGCTTAAAGAAATAAGTCGGAAAGGGTCCAAATCCATCCTAAGGTACATGGGCTTTCTACTGTTAGACACAGGGAACGGGAAGTTTTTAACCTAGAGAATGATGTGACTAGATAATCCCTCCGACAGTATTTAAGGAGACGGGAGGGAGGCAGCGTTAGTGGCCCCTGTTGGAGATAACGGAATAAGGCAGTGGGCATGGAACACATTCGAGAGGTGTTTGCGGGGAGCTCTCCAGTAAGCCTTAGTGATTTTTGTAAATGAATGGTATCTCCCCAATTGGATTACAGACCACTTAAGAGTAGAAAAGATCCCTTTCCTCAAAGTGCCTAACACAGTAGTGCTCATAATTTATTTGCTGTGCGAATCAGAGCCTGGACTAAAATGATTGTAGTTTGCTCACCTCTAAAGTAAAGGTAACAGCTATCACTTTCCCCACAACTCATAGACAACAAAAAATGATTAACGCATACATACTCAAATCATGACCACAGATAAGTCATATCATGAAAGTTCTTGACATGTATCGAATGAACTATAATAATTCATGCATTTACCCACACTTGTTAAAAACCTACTATGTGCCAGCACGCATACAACTGGTCAGCTAAGATTAGGAATGTAGCAAGTACCCAAGTGTCACTGATTCAGTGGGCATCTCAGCCATGCCAACGAAGAGTTCAGGTGCTTGTGGACAGCCTGTTAATTATACCATCTTATTTCTCTTTCACTGACTTCTTATTTCCCACCTTGAGATCATTTCATTGAACTCAACTACCTTTATTAGAAATGGAAAAAATAAGGCAATAAAAGGAGATGAAGCTCAGCCAGTGGCTTAGCTAAAATTAAACAGAAGAGCAAGGGAAGGAGAAAAACTATTGCTAAGAATGAGCCTTCTTTAATTTTTAATGATTCACATCAGATCTGGCACTAATTAGTAGAGACAAGTGAGTCATCTGCTTAAGTACTTACAGACACAAAAACACACCTACCTTCCTACAAAAACACAACAGGATACACTCTTAAAATTACATCTTCTGTTGACATTTTTCAGTAAAACAAAGTTAAGGCACCTAAACAATGTTTTCTTCCAATTTTGTTGCTGCCTTTTTGAATTTTAGGTACTGCTAAGGACATGGGGGCACAAAGCTGAACAAGGCATGGCCACTGAACTCGTTGGTAGAGCTACTTTGCTTGCTGGTTCAGATGCTGGAGGTAAATTTTTCATTGGAAAATTCATGTGAGTATTTAGGCTAAGGCCAATTTCCTTCTGCAGTCTGAGAAAGAATCAGAGGTGGTTTCTCTGGGCCTTCACATGGGCTCCGGTTTAGATTGTTTAACAACAGGAGAAATAGCATTCGTCAAAGAGTGACCTGGGATTTCCATTTATGACTTTTAATAGACATCAAAGATGATGAGGTTGGTTTCTGCTTCAGCAAAAGCCCTCTTGGGAAATTACCCAAGGCCTTAATGATGATTATTTATTCATGTAACTTGGAGACTATTAGAAAAGGAGGTGAAGGTTTATACCTGGTGTATTAAAATTGCTGGATGACTAATATGCAATTATAAATACTCCTTCTGGCTGTCAACCCAAAACTTTAGGAATCTTGTATGATCTGATGGTGTATTATGGGACATTAATACAACGCTAGCTCAAAGCACTGAATTTTGAGTTAAAATATTAAGATAAAAAAATTTAAAATCAACTACTTATCTGAACTGTTTTCTAAATTCACTTCTGAAAAATAGATGCTTTTTGAGATGGAGTGCCTATCACACAGCAGGAGCTCGGCAAACATTAGCTGACCCAAGCGAGGGCCTGAAATGTGCCCGAGAACTGACCTTCAGAAGCATTTCCTCGTGTTGGGGGTTGTCAGAATCATAGGGCTCTCTGCGCAGTTTTTCCACATCTGCAATAAGGTTTCTGTACCCCACGATCTGCAGAAGGCAAGCCTGAAGAGAGATTCCCAACCTAGGGTGTTCGAAAAGGAAGGAGCACACGTGAAGAAAAGCAGGGCATACTTTGGCATTTGTTCACCCGATGGAAGCATATCAGGACTTTTCCTATTTGTCTAACACTCAGGAAATTGCCCAAATAGGATCTAATAGAAGCACAGTTTCTTACTGCAGCTGCATGCCGGTTGTAGATCTTGGCTGCAACTCTCATTCTGGCCTTTTCTGAAGCCATGTTGCAACGATGTGGCTTAAAAAACAAGGGAGCTCTTTATGCAGGTGACTTGTGAGATGCACAAAATACAGGTGATTCTTAGGGCTCATTTAGCTCCCACTAAGTGGGTATTTCAGAACACTTCAGAAGGGTGTGCATGTGTGTGTGTGCGTGTGTGTGTGTGTTTGTAGAGACGGAGGGAGAAAGAGCCCTCAGGGGGTTAGGATTTGAAAAAACGTCAAAATAACAACACCAACACCTCTGCAAAAACAAAACAAAACAAAACTTAAAAAACAAACACCTCTGTTTGGGGGCATTCCTGATGGGCAGGCAACGCCAAGAGAAAGAACTTGCTACTTTACAAGATTTCCCATTCCCTTCCGACTTCTCTAGTTGTCTGGACACTTTCCTTTAGGCTGAAACAAAATCTGCTTTCCTGATCACCAGTGGTTCAAATTCTGTTCTCTGAGCAAATGTATGTCCACCTTTCCCCTACCATGCCTACCTATTTTAAGATAGTGATTCTTTCTTCTAGTCTCATCTCCAGAATTTAAAAAAAATCCCGTTCCTTCAATTCCTTCTCGTGCGACATGGCTTGCAGTCGCTTTACTGCCTCGCCCGGTCGTCGCTGAGTGTGCCCTGTTTAACGGCCACCACAGCCTATCACCGGAACAGAACCCACTGTGACAAGCAGGCCGCACAGAGAAGCATCACGCCGGGGTCTGAATGCTGCTTTCCTCTCCGACAACCCAGAAGGTAAGATAGGGTCTCTTTAAGCAGTCACATAACATTACATGTTTATTAAATGGCTAACCAATTACCAAGGTTCTTTTTTCATATAAACGACTGTCACATAAGTTATTCTTCTACATTCACTTGATGGCATTTTTAAACCTAAAGGTGGTATTTCATGTTGACTTATTCCTGTTAAATTCTTTACAGTCATTAGCTTTTGAGGTTCGCAGTAGTTGAACGTTGGCAATTTCATAAGATTTACCCAAGAGCTCCTCTCCGGTATACTCCTACTCCTAATTCACTCACTGAATTTGAACATTTTAGTTCTCGTGGTGGTCATTGTAATCATGATGACAGTGTCATCATCATCTTTTTTGGGCAGGGAGGGAAATAAGATGTATAGAAAGTTAAGACTAATACTGGGGGCAACAGAGAATTATGTCTTAGGATTGTATACTTACTCCAAATGTAGGAGACAATGTCAGATAACCCAGAATGCTAAACTTAACTAAAATGGAATGTTCAATTAAATGACCCTTGTTACCATAGCACCAAAAAAACTAAATCATATATTTTAATATAGGAAAAGTGATCAGTGGTACTGGTCACCCAGAAAACCCATGCAGGACAGAAAAGAGTTAAATTTGAGGGAAAGAAGAGGTTGGAAGAAATGAAAGAAGAGGGAACAAAAGAAGGCAAATTCAATTTTTACTGTACTGATTCTTACCAGCAGCATAAACAGCACTTGAAAAAATGTAGTTAAAACAAAGTGAGGTTGGTCTGGTTGGTGTTGCTCAATGAATGGTTAGAGCATCGGCCTGCGCACGGGAGGGTCACGGGTTTGATTCCTGGTCAAGGGCAAGTACCTGGGTTGCAGGTTTGATCCCCAGCCTCGCTCATGGTATGTGCAGGAGGCAACCAATCAATGTGTCTCTCTCACATGGATGTTTCTCCCCCC